TCAGTAAACAGCTGAGAAGTAAAGTGTTCAAGACCTTGTTAACTATGTAATTTAAAACACTTACAATAAGGGTTTGTTTTCTTGTCAACCTGTAGTTGCAATGTAACTGGTCCATTTCTGGTTGCTAACAAGACCATGCAATCAACAGCATTTGCAAGGTCACTAAGCTACTGTAATCGTTTGATGAAAACGAAAGTTCAGCACCATAAACAGCGGCAAAGCTCTAAGAAAAATGTCTGCTCTACAGACCAAAAGACACAATAGAAATCATCTCCAGTAGGTTTGCGTTTAAACCAATTAACATTTATAATTTCACTCTTTGTTGACGAAGAATGCACCAAAAACTGACAAAACTCGAGCACAGTTAGAACTGGTCTTGTAAACTAGGTTTTCCTAATGGACTTCAGGCAATTGCTATGCTAATTTCTTGAATTGCTTGGTCAGGTCTTTGTGTATGACTCATGTATAAGTCGAAGGTGATTTTTTTAGATGGAATAAGGAACCGTGAGGATCTTGCTGTTTTCCAGTTGAACCAAAAGTCCTGGCGGGCTCGCAAACTCTGTGTTCTCCCTGTCAACTGCTTCTTGTAATATCTTTGACTCCACTCGCCTACAAGTGAAGAGCTCCTTCCTCAGTGCTTCCTTCTGGCTTGTCGTCATACGGTAATAATTGTCGCCTACTTCTAGATGCCGATATTTATCTATTAAGTGATACTCTCCCTTTCCTAAAACCACCAAAAGCTGCTCCTGTTCTTGCCGTTTACCAATTTTCGTAAACGTTCAACAATGTCGCACCGTTTTTCTTCTTCGCCGAGAACTACTTTCATCCTTCTCTTCCTCTTTAACAAGTTTATTCATGGACTCACTAGCAGTTTGCGTGTACACGTCGGGGGGGAAACCCAAGCCGCACCTGAATCTAACGCCAGCTGTCATTGTTTCCCTTATGTCAAAAGCCTTGTTCTTTATAAAGTACTGAAAAAAGTCAGTGCCTTTCAAGTGTCTTGTTTCCCAGACTACCTTAAGTTTTCCTAGACCACGATAAAATTCAGCGCCATCCTGGGAATGGACAAGTCCAGTGTCTTCTCCTCAGCCAAAAATGTCTGCCATGTTACTCATTTGCCACAACGGTCGGGACCCCCAGGGAAGAAAGTTTACTCTTTGTATTGTCTTTCATGAGCATATTGCAATGCAAATGCATTGCACTTTGAAAAACATTCAAGAGGGGATTTGATAAGTTTTGTTCCCCGTCAGTCCCC